GGAAGGTAAGGGTCAATTTTATTGTAGAGACGTATGCAATGCACAAAAGATAATGCCCGTATGGTTGTTCAATTCTATCGGTCCGCTATCCCAATCACGATTTTCCTACCCCCAGAGGGAAATGTACTCCCTTTTGTTTTGGGCCGGTTGTGGACGATCCAATTAATCAAGATACACAATGAGGATCGTATCCATACGATTTTGTACTTCTCGACAAATATAAGCTGTCTTGTTATTCTAAGTTTTCTTAACTCTTTGACCCCCGAAGTTAGAGTATCCTACTTTCACGCAATTCACAAGGGTCAACAAGCAATCAATATTTCACGATCAAGGGTGTAATACTCTTTGTAGTAGCGGTCCGTATATATCGTATTAACAATCGAAGCCCGAGACCAAGTTACTATTATTTCTTTCTCTATTTTTTTATTAAGCTTATCAATTTTTCTTAATAAATGATTGACTACAAAAGGATTTTTTTTTTTAGTGAACGTGCCACAACTTCTATATTTATCTTTGAGATCGAGTATGGAATTCTGTTTACTCACTTTAAATTGCGTATTCGTTATGGAGAGTTATAGTCATAGTCAGATTAATGTTTCTAAAAGGTGTGAGATAAGGTAGGGGTTTCATTCTCATGTCATTCGGCTCGACCTGTATGTCCAATCCGACCTCATAGTTGGGACAATTAGGGAAAGACCAAGTTGGGCTCTGAGTTCGAGGTCGAACATTACAATATCTGGGAACATTACAGGCCTCGTGCATCCAAATCACAGCTGGTGGTTACGTGCATGAGCTGCGAGGTAAGATGCAACAGCCTGAGTTTGGATTCCCTTCCATGTTGTGGGTTCGAGCTGGATGCGTGACACGTGTCTAACACGTTGGGTAGGTAGCACTTGATCTCAGATGATAGCCATGTGTTATGGATTCAAGGGCTGAGATTGAACAATCTTTAATCTTCCAAAGACCTCTATAAATACCCACATTTTAATCTCATTTTTCACTTTCAACTCCCAGTACAAGCAATTCCAGTTTGGGGATAGTCGGTTTCATGAGCAACCATCTTAAGAGGTAATCGTTCGAGCTTTTAAGTTATTAATTACTTTTTTTTAAGAAGTATTATGTTGAGTGGTATTCCAATGTGGAAAACCAATCTCTAGCTGCATTAGTAAGAGATTAAATAAAGGCCTTGCATATTACCGCATCAAGTGCTACTTGTAAGTTTATGATATCTATGTATATTTGAGATGATTGATGGGGTCAGTTGTCTCATCATAATCCTTTACTCGATGATACTTGAATCTATTTTGTTGGGGATATGATAAGACTTTAGGGGTAAAAGAGGTATTAAGGTGAACCTTGTTGTTGCCCGAGTATAGTATACCCATTGCTATCCCATCCTGAATGACCCTGACAAGTTCAACAGAGTCCATTGTAATTGATCTTGAGCCCATATGGGGTATGCCCGAAGTTTTAGACATCATCGTTATCAAGACATGAAGCCCGAGCTCAAGCATCTGCCATTAGACCACCCTATGGCAGTAGTGCTTAATGTGGATTTCTTTAATTCAGCAACTAAGTTAGCGTGACAACTTGTTGGCGGAACTCCTCCAACGCTCTAGGAGCTATGACTGCTGATGGAGACGTTGGCTCTCCTAATGATTCTTCCAGTGGAATAGGAGGATCTTCGACGAAGGGCTGATTCGGGATGGATTAGTTTGCTGGAAGATGTCCCGAACGTGTATTAACCATGACTTTTGATAGTGCTTCCTACAAACTGTCCCAATGATGTTATCAAAAATCTTACCTATTGATTTTCAACCTTAATGACTGAGATTGATCATGAACAAGATCTTTCGATACCTGGAACAAAGGTGTCGAAGTGTGTCATTGTTGTCCCTCCGATACTTAAGTTAAAGAGAGAATTTATGCGTAAGGCTATGAATTGAAAACAATGTAAAAATGTATTTGAACAATGAACTTTGGTAATGTATTTATAGATATTGGTGATGGAGTTCTAAAAGGATCCAACTATCTGTAACATTTATCCCTATCATGCAAAGTGTTTGTATTACAGTGGAAATGTTCTGTTTGAGTTTGAAACAAACATTGATAGTAAGTAATTTAGATGATGATAAAGGTTATAGAGAGATAGTCATAGTAGGATTTAATGTTTTCTAGAAGGTGTGAAATAAGGTAGGCGTTTCGTTCTCATGACTTCAAGTCCGACCTGTTCATCCAATTCCAATCTGACATGGGACAATTAGGAAAAGATCACGTCGGGCGTTACCATATCTGGAAACATATAGTATTCTATAATTTTAAATGTTTGGTAAGTATTATTTTAATTATTAGAATAATTTAAAATTTTAAATGATATTAAAAATATAAAAACCATTTTTTCTTTAACGTCTACGCCTCGTCTAACTTGACCTTGACCTCAACCTCGACCTCGACCTCCACATTTAGTCATATTTTACACATTTTAAACACTACCTACAACATAAGCACTTTTGGGTGAGATAGGGCATTCCCTTCTCAAGTATTTGTATAATTCCATTCTCTTCTTGAGTATAAATTTTTCAGTTCCAAAAATTTGAGGGAATGACGAGACCATCCTTGGACGTCTTTATTTTTAAGCTACCCAAAGCTCCATTGGAGTCTTGGAGATCACAGTTCACCTCACGCATTAACAGGTACAAATTTTATCATTATTTATCAAGTACAGAAGATATAAGATCGAGTGGAGAGAGAAGAACGCGAATGATTTAAGTAGTTCGCTCAAGAACTTGTATCATTCAAGTCGTTGGTTCTAGATTGTCCAATGTAGACTTCACTTTCCAGTTAGTATACCTTCAAAATTTCCAGAGACTCTCAGTCAAAAAACAGAAAAGAAAAAGAAAAGAAGAGCTTAATGGGAATAATAAGTCAGTTCACACGCCCATACCATTAATGTTGCATCTGGCCTGTCGTAATAAAAACATTTTCAAGTTTAAAGTCGTAACGTTAAAGTTCAAGTTGCCCTTCTCTCCATTTCAAGGGGGAACTAAAAATAGGTAATCATAAGATTCACAACGTTTCCTGGTGGCAAATGTATCCTTTAGAATAGGAACTTTGAACCTTTCATGAATTTCAATTCTAAATGTCAATTCAGATATATCCAAATGTAACACAAGCCTTCATTACGGCAGAAATTGAGCTGAGGTTCACAAACTCTTAGCAAATGAAAGATGGACATTGGTAAAAATTACTGGAAGATTACGGATGGGATACTCACTGGGCAACAATATCAAATGTATACATTTCACCTTGCTCTTTGATAAAATTAGAAGAAACGCATTATGATAAAAAAACTGAACTAATTATACAACATATATTTGCCCAAAGTCAGCGTGTATAAGGTGAGAATACAACAATTTGAAATAACAAGAGCGCAGTCAGAAAAGACAAGAGTTCATTTCCCAAATATAGAAGCAAATTCAACAAAGTCATCCAGCCCCAGGCCACAGCACAACCGAAATTCCACACCAAAAAAATTCATAAAATAAGATCAAATGACTGAATTGGCTCTAGATGAAAACAGGAACATAGAATTAGAACTCGACAATAGACCGATATAATAGCTTAACCAGGTACCACTGTTTCACAAACTATTAACATTGCTTGCAAGTAGAGCAAATAGAATATATCGTACTTTGATGCAACTTTGAGGAAATTTAATTTGCGCGGCTTTTGAAGACATCAAGACCCATCTCAGTTGGATCAGTTGCTTGCAGCTCCACCTGAATGCCATCTAATTCCCTTTTGAACCTATCCTTAGAGCTTGCATAAATCATTTTGCTCCTCACCCTTGAGGTGTCGGGTGACCTTATCACGAAGAAAAAAGGGAAACTAACAGTTAGGTAGTGAAAATAAAGCCAGTTCATTTACTAGTTTTGCCAGGAAAGAAAATTACCACGCAACAAAGAAAATCCTGCTCTTTGGGACATTCTCTTGGGTCATGAAGTCAAAATCATAAACTGCATAACGACACTCATTATCAGGGAGGCATTTGGTGAAGTCCTCGTAAGTTTCGGCTGGTTCACCGAGCTTTTCCACAATAACCTGTTTATCCTCAATCTTGAATACTATGAACCGATATGTTCGTTTCGTTTTCAATTCCATAAACTTGAGTTTGCAGTCATCATGCACCGCCATTCCTGAAGCCGCATTAGCCTGTAAACAAAATGATCTTACGACTTATGCATGGCAACATTGAAACTGAAGAATGTAAGTGATGTAATTAGTAATACATCAAAATGAATTCTAAATAATAACTTGGGTGACACTGAGAATGGGAATTGTCTCTCAAAGTTTGTTGCATAAGTAAATGATGTCAAGTTCAAATTACTGGAGACCATTATTAGAAGTTGCCTAATACAGAACGAACCACATATATAGCTTTTAAGTTTCTAATGATAGTTGCCTTCCTGATTTAATTGTGCTGTCTGTCATCAGCCTAAACAATATCATTGTTCAAATTAAAGTAAGGAGCAACCTCAAAATAACACAGGATATCTTCCTTAACATGATTCATATTAGGTTATCTTAAATGTTAAACTCAAATAACAGATTACTATCCGAAACAGTGAAAGAAAGGAACATCAAATTAGTCTTATTATACTCTCATACGTTTGGGGAGGGGATGAAAGCAACCTTATCCGTGAACAAACTATAGATCTTATATGTTTGAATTATCTTAAAAAAAACTTTAATCAAAAGAAAACTATCAGATCATTACCCATATTGAAATTGAACTTGTAATTTAGATAATCTTATACAATTATTTTAATTCACTTAATAATGATTTTCCCCAAAGGTAAAAACAAAGGCACCAAAATTAATCCAGTGTAATGATTAAAAAAAAAAAAAAAAAAAAAAAAAAAAAAAAAAAAAAAAAAAAAAAAAAAAAAAAAAAAAAAAAAAAAAAAAAAAAAAAAAAAAAAAAAAAAAAAAAAAAAAAAAAATTTAAATGCCAAATCCAGAGATCAAGGGCCAAAATTACAGAAAAATCAGATCTAAAGATCAAAAAAGAAAAATCATCAAATCAAATTGCAAAAAGGCTCTAAGATTTCAGGTTTCCTACAAAAAATAAAGATCTAGAATCAAACATAAAAAGGGTAACGAACATGAAAATTAATTTATCGAAAATAAATGCATAGTATAAAACTGCATAGACAAAAGGTAATAGAAAAGTAGAATTATACGGATACCATGGTGCAGAGGTCAGATCGGCGAAGATCGAGGGAAAATTTGAGAGAGTATTTAGGGGATGAAAATAGTGTAGGGTTGGGGTGTGAGATATTTTTGGCGATAAATCAATGGACCAACTTTTCTCACAGGGAGATATACATAAATATTTGGAGAAGATGAGTAAAAGTTGAAATGTCCATCCTGACCCTGACAACGCTCCCCTCCGTGAAAGGGTAAAATTACTAAAAGCATCCCTAACCGTTAAAGCCGGTTGTACTTTCATCCTCGGCCTTTTTTCTGTACATCCATGTCTTTAATCTTTGAAAAATAGACATAATTTTGCATCATTTTTTCCGTTAATCAATTCATTTGACCTACGTAACCAAAATTATGAGGCCAAATCGTCACTCTGTTATGAATGGAAAAATAGAAAACAAAAGAAGAGAATATAAAACAAAAAAAAAAAAACGTAAATTAAGAAGATGAATGAATATTTTTACTTATTTGTTTTTTGTTTTTCCTAATTTTTTAAATATTTTTGTAAATAATAAGAATTACAATTTTGCCCCTCTTAATTTTTGGACGTGCAAGTTAAATATGTTGACTAACAAAAAAAAAGTATGGATCTCATCTATTTGGATGAATATCACCTATTTTCTATAGGCTGGGAATAAGGTTGTAAAGAAAACAGTTGAGGAGAAAAGTACTAGATTACATTTATTTTCCATGAAAAATATCAATTTTACATCCAAATTCTTATTTGAAGTGTTTGATTGGTATTTTTTTTATGGAAAATATTTTCCAACTTTTGAAAATATGTCTAATTTTCCTTGTTTTTAAGGAAAATATTTTCCTTGGGTGGAGGTGATTTTTATTTTTCTCAAAACAAAGAAAATATTTTCTTTTCTAGGTGATATTTTTCATTTCAATCAAACACACTCTAAAAGGTTGGGGATGTTTGATTAATGGAAAATTCTACATAAATAGAATTATTGTACATAATGGTATCTATAATGTGATGTGGCAATCATCCAGTTGTTGATGTGCAAGTGTGAGATTTGAATTAAAAGTTGAATCCAATGCCACGTGTAATTATGGACATCACTATGTAAATAATTATGTACATATAACACTTCCCTATATTTTGAATATAAGGGTTTGGGCAGCTATTCTTAAAAATGAAAAATCGATGCTCAATGGAATATTATAGTCTAAAAAAGCACGAGCGAGCATTTTAACCAGCCTAAAGCTCTAACATGTTGCCGGATTTAGATATTAGCGTTCTCGAGCCAATTTACATTGATTAAAGATAAAAATAATGGCATATTTGCTTGAGAATTGCTACATGTACATAATTGTCTACGTAATGATGTCCATAATTACGTGGCACTGAATCCAACCTTTAATTCAAATTTTACACTTGCATATCAACTACCGGATGATTGTCACATCACATTATGGACAATATTATGTGCAATAATTATGTACAAGTAGAGTTTTCTTATTTGCTTTACTTGCCCTTTTGGGTAAACATATACACCCCACCCCCAAAAAAAAAAAAAAAAACAAAAACAAAAACAAAAGCTTAAATAATTGCAAAAAGGTTGGGATTTTAGCCATGTAGGAAAATCCTATGAAAGTTTTTTTTCTTTTTTTTCTATCCAAAAACTCCAAAGAATTTGTCATTTGTCCACCCTATTCCAAAAAATATTAATAAGTATGCACGGAATGAATCATCCACACATAATATTTATTTCTTGAGTTAATTAAATGATTATTTATCAACGTTCACATTTAGTTACTTTTTTTAAATTCAAAAATAAAAATGTTACTGGTTGATTGCTAGCTTTGACATAACATTATTCATCTATTATTTATCAATTTTCGTTTGTCCACATGACCAAAAAATTCCATTGTGTTGGATGGAAATACTACATGGCAATTAATTGTGTTGGAATATAATAGTTATATTCTCAAAGTAATCAATGACACTTATTTTTTATTATTGTTTGCTCACTCAAAATTAAATAATATTTACCTCTGATTACTATTTGCTCACGATTGATTAATCATATTCACATAATGTTACCCATTCATCTTCTATTTCATTTTCTTTCTTTCTTTCTTTTTGTCCTATCACTGAACTTGGTTATATGGATTTTATGATTTTTGAATTGATATTTGTAAATTACGTTGCGCACTTTATTTTCCTCATTTTTCTTCCTCTATATAATTTTTTTTTTCAATTTTATTGTTTGATATATGTATATTATTTTTGCAATTTTTGATATTATCATAACATGAGATCGTGGACGATCACCTAAGTGACCTTATGCTTGAAATGGGTCTACGTCCGCTATATAATTCTTTGTCCTATCAAGCATAAAAAATAAAAATTCATTTTATCACGAAAAATATGAAAATGAATAAAAAAAAATGTAGAAGAAAACATTAAGGCGGAGGAATTTGTATAAGAAAAATCAAACAAATTCCTAAACAATTAACGAAAAAGAATAAATAGAAAAATGAGAAAAATAAAATAAAAATCATATAAACAAACTTGACAGTAAAAAATATAAAAATAATCATTAGTTGATGGAATTCGTAGAAGGAAAAAATTGAAGAAAAATAGAGCTAGCAAAATTAATTTGCGAATTTCGTAGCATAAAAATCACAGAAATCATATAAACGGACTGATTAATAAAAATCAAGAAAAAAAAACTTAGAAGATACAAAAAGTGAGCAATGTAATTAAAAAACATATAAATCAAAAACCACTAAAATCATATAAACAAATTGAATGGTATAAAACTAAAATTGAGATGAATGACAGATGTGTAATATTGTGTAAATGTGAGTAAGCAATCAATAATCTGTTATCTTTAAATGAACAAATAATAACCAAAGCTAAATGCTATTCATTTGATTTTCATTTTTTTAAGTATATTTTTCTCTATTTTATTTTCAATCACACATTTCTTAATAAAATATTATTACACATAAATCCAGAACATGTTCTAATTTTTTATTTATAAATTTTTCATCAATATACTATTTGAAAATGTATTCTAACCCAAAAATGGAACTCAAACATGCCGTCAATTTTGAATGAGTAATGTATGTGCTTACTTTCAGCCAGGGATGAAACTGTTTTTAGTAAATGTCGGAAAACCCCTTGAAAGCATTTATTCTCTCCAAGAACTCAAAAAATTCCCATTTCTCCACCCAATTCCAGAAATATTAATGCAGCATGAACGGCATGAATATATTTACCTCTTTCTTTATAAAATTTCGTACCTTATATTAATTATAGACAGAATCATCTGAACTTAAAATTTTAACGAAACAATCTATTCATTAAACATTAATATGATAATTATTGAAATGGTTAAGGAAAGAACCTCCGTACCCTCCTGGGGTATAGGGTGCTTCCGCTGTTCCGATGACCAATTGTTATCTGCAAAAGTGAGGTCGGGGTTTTCTCCCCCGTTGTACCTCCTAGGTGAGAATTAGTACCGAATTACCGAGAGTTAGGAAAGGAAAAATGAGATATTCAAATAACCAAAGTTTTTCCAAGATCCCTACCTGTTTCGCCTTTTGAGTATTTATAGGCGATTGGAGTCATGTGAAGGCCAGGCGGTTATGGTGCCATGTGTCTCACTTAACCTCTTCCACTGCCCCCACGTTCTTAGTGGGTAACCTCCGGCCGTTCAACTGCTAGTTGTGTTCGTAACAACCGTCGCGTGACCTCTGCCCAAATTATGATTTTTGGCTAAGTGTTGTATTGACCGCGTAGTGGTAATGAGCCTCATCGCGGTTGACGATCCAGCTAGGATATAGAGTACCCATGGCGGTTGACGTCCTGACATAGGTATAGTGCGCCTAGGGGTTCGACGCCCGGCATGGGCGTAGAGCGCCCATGGGTGTCGACGTCTTAGCGTGGGTGTTGTATGCCCATGGGTGGTGTGGGCTGGCGACAGAACCCATATCTTGTCAGTTGTTGTAGGTAATTAGCGATGTCCAATATCATTAGCCCCTCTACCCCTTGTCGATATTTATCGGTAAGGGGTAACACCTATTCTCCCTTCCCATGTCTTTGACAACATTTTTTTTTTTTACTTAATATTGGACCATAGTTGGCTCAATATGAATGGGTCGAGCGGTCTAGGTGACGTTGGGTAGTGACAACCCTACACATGGCATTTCTCAAGTGGGCTTGGTACTTTTGGGGGAAAACTTCCCTCCAAAATTTTCAAAATATTTGGTTATATAAGAGGGGGACCCTCCTTCATTCTCACATCTCCCTTCAAAAATTCTCTCTCTCCAATAGTAAGGTACTCCTCTCATCCTCCCTTTTTATTCCAAGTTTTTTATCTTTCTTTTTGCTATGTACAAAACCATTATCACTTCCTCTTCCGCTGAAAGCGAAAACGAAGGGGTGAATGTGTCATCCAACCCATTGTGTGTTGGGTCGAGCGACGCCTCTCCGACCGGCGCTGGTCGATGGTCGATCGACGCGGGCCCGCCGACCAACAAGGCTGGTCGACCATCGACCTGCCAAGAGGTCGGTCGATCTTGCTAGCCGATAGTCGACCAATCCTTTGGTAGTCGACCGACCTCATAACTGGTCCCGTCGTGGGTTCCCCCCATAGTCGGTCGATCCCCCCATGATTCCAATAGTCCGACCCATTCGTCTGAAATTTTAGCATTCCAACTGTCATCCCTAAAAAGACATATTGGTTCAACGAAGCTTTTGAACTTAAATTTAGAAATTGAGCGAGATCTGGCTGCTTAGGAAGTAAGCAACAAAGCTCCTGGAGAGCTCATCAAACGTCTTGATAGATAACGGGGCCAAGGTTGCTACCTAGTCCCTAGCCTCCCTTCTGAGTGTGGGGGGAAGAATCGGCATATCACTGTGTCCGGGGCCGCATAAAGTCTCATCAGATCTACAAAGGTCCGCAAGTGGTCAAGCGGATCCGTGACTCCATCATATGCTTCTATCATGGGCTATTTGAAGCTTTTAGGTAAGGGGGCCGCCATGATCTTGGGTGCAAATGAGTCTTCCTTCAAAACCATCTGCCTCTGCTCATCCTTCATCTTTGATAGCGTATCATCTATCTTCTGGGCCTTGATTTCTTCCATCTTTTGTTCTAGGTCCACCATGGCCTGCGGAGGTTGCTGAGCTACGACCACTGGTGCCCGAATCTCCCGTCACCTGCCGAGCGATGGGTGGAACAACTGCGGGTGGCGTTTGAGATGGCTGCTAGCTTGTCACTTTCGTTGGGCTCAATGGGTGTAGAGCGCCTAGGGGGTCGAAGTCTGGCATGGGCGTAGAGCACTTAGAGGGTCGATGTCCTGGCATGGGCGTAGAGTGCCCATGGGGGTCGACATCTTAGCATGGGTGTTGTATGCCCATTGGTGGTGTGGGCTGACGACAGAACACATATCTTGTCAGTTGTTGTAGGTAATTAGCGATATCCAATATCAATTATCATTAAATTGGAATTATTCATTGAAAGTTTTAAATTAGAATCTCACTACCCCCTCTTTAAGGCATCTCCAGTCTATACACCATTCAACCATTTTTCATCACAAACACTGCTCCAACCCAACACCAAATATGAAAAAGTCCAATTTACCCTTTTTTTCATGTATGACTAAATTGATACGATGAATTAAAATTTATGTATGATGTAAAATGACACAAATACCCTTAATAATAATAATAATAATAATAATAATAATAATAATAATAATAATAATAATAATAATAATTAATTAATTGAACATTTGTGGGATGAATATATGAATTTCGATAATTAAATTATGATATTAGGTCGATTTCGTCGTACCATAATTTTGAGATTCAGAATATAATACGTTATTTTCAATAACATGATTTCATATTTTCTTAGTTGTAGTATTTTTATTAAATGTACTATATTTTTAAAATATATTAAACAATTTCATATTTTCGTAAATAAAACGTAATTATATATATAGTAGTAAATCGAATAAATAAATAAATTTTCAGCTATATAAATTGTTAAAAATAAAAGAAATGAGAAAAATGATTAAACACTATTTGCAACTTTTGGCGTAATGAGTTGAAAATAATTTTTAATTTGATGTAAAATTTGATGCAAAATGGTGCATATTTTGATATTTGGCAGGAGATTGTCTCAGCAAAACAAGTAAAATGGCGACGCATGTAGAATCTTGGAGAATCCAAAATCTAACCCCCATTTGGCCCCCATTTTCATTTTCAGAAAATGGGGGGAATAATATTTTTTTTTAAATGAGTAATTCAAAAAGAAGATTTTTTTTTTTTGTGTAATATTATTATATGTAAGATTGTGTAGTTAAAAATATGATTGTGAAAAATAGAATATAATGAAATGGAATTTATTTGATTTCTTCAGGAATTTGCTATTATGTTATATTCAACTTCTTGTTTCTTTATAAATTCTTGAAATGTGCTATCTGATTTTGTGGATTTTTCTGTGTTTATTGTTAAATTCTTGAAATTTTCTCTCATTTTGTCAATTTTTCTGTCTTTAATGTTAAATTCTAGAACGATTTATCCGAAGTTAAGTTTTATACGAGGCTGTGGAAGTGCGACACTAGAATAGATATCGGGATTTCACTATCAGATCCGTCTAGAGATTTCATTTTCCTGTTGATTTCAGCATCTTTGAGGTCTTTTTGGTCGTCTCTCGGAAATCACTACGTATAAGTGAATTTTTTCCCCCCGAAATTCACTTTTTTTTTTTTTCAATTACTTACCTTCTAATTAGAAATATTTATTGCAATATAAAAGTGGTTAAATTTAGACCCTAAAACTCATCGTATTAATTGCGTCTATATTTCAAATTATTCTTAAAGTAGTAATCTCATACTGGCTTACTAGAAAAGGAGATGGAAAAAAAAATAATAAATATATATATATATATATATAATTGCTGTTATGTTGTAGAGGTGTTCTAGGGAGATTAGTTATCTTTTGGGTGAGAAATAGAAGGATACATTTCCATTATTGGGTTTTCAGGGGAAATTCCAAGTCAATCCAAGTGGGCCTTGATAATAGGAGTGCAAAAACAGTTAGGAAAAATGGAAGATAATTTTCCACGCTGCTTTATAACGATTCAAAACCTTTAACCTAGATCTGAACTTTCACTCTCTATAACCATTTAATATACAATTTGGCTTTTTCAGAATATCTGGTCAACGATCAAGTGGCCAAATAGAGAAAATCCACATCTTATGTATCCATCTTTCGTATATTTTAAATGAGAACCAAGTTCATTTGTGATTTGATTGATGTTCACATTCCTTTGATTCTCAACTATGGCTCAACTGACAACTGTGAGATATGTTATTAAGTAACTTTGTACATATTTAAAACCAATTATTGAGAAGAATTTTATTTTTAACAGAACACTGATGCAGAGGATGCAAGTCATCAACCCTGTCCTTTTTGTCCAATTTCTATTTTGGAAATGTAACCCTAATAGTATCTAAGCCTGAAGATAAACAAATAATTCGAATGGTTATTTAGTTCTCTTTTTGTAATGATTATGGCAGTGAAATTTATAATTTTGCTACAGGTATCGTATTTTTCTTATCCTGGTCAAAAGAGGTTTTTGTCATGTTTTGTTAATCTTTCTAGGTGAGGGCATTATGTGAAAAGGCCAAGGAGATTCTAATGGAAGTGAGTAATGTGCAGGTGTGCCAATTGTCTTCATTTTCATTATCGCTGCCAATGTTTAGAGTGTGTACTTATGAGTTAGCTCCAATTTAATTTCATTGAAATTGAACATTTTACATGGAATGTAACTTGGATGTTGTAATTTTCTGTTGCTTGTGATCGACGGCCATTTGTTTCTTTAAGCATTATGTTCATGGTTGATTGCTCAATTAACCTTATCCTTCTCTACAAGCATTGGAGTTCGACAGAAGTTTAGTCGTTCCTTTTCGGCATGCCCCTTTATTTTTTGATGAGACTTTTTTATTCCTAAAATACATGTACTTTTTAGTAGAAACACAATATTTTTCTATATACCTAATAGAGTCTCCTTTACAAAGCCTTTCTATTCCTCCGCTCCCCACACCAACCCAAGGTGTGGGGAGGTTGGGGGGAGAAGGCATTTCAAGTAGAATTACTTTTTGACGTAGTATCAGTAACTACTTACGAGAATTGAAAATTTAATAGTCCTAATGTTTTTGAAATGCCGGTTGTTCCTAAAACAAATTCAATTGTTGACAAACTTAAATGTTGACAGAGTGCTCAATTGTTTTCCCCCCATAATTGCAGCCCGTGAAAAGCCTTGTGACCATTTGTGGTGATATTCACAGGCAGTTCCATGATCTTGCTGAGCTTTTTAAGATTAGTGGAAAGGTGTGTGCTCATTTGGCCTTTATCTGTTTAATGGCCTCCTCAGTGTCTTACATTTTGTATATATTATTCAAGAAGACTTATTTTTCTTCAGTTGAATTGTATATTTAGCATGGTTTCTTTTCATGGGATTGCAGTGTCCAGATACAAATTATTTGTTTATGTGAGATTATGTTGATCGTGGGTACTATTCAGTTGAAATGGTAACCGTTAGTTATATTTAACCATGTTATTACTATTATTTTGCTATGGAAACACTAATATGGTAGTTGATTTCTATAAAAATGCACAATTAGTTCTTTCTATTTTTGCTTTTTTGTGTGGGAAGCTCTCAAGATATGTTCTATTTATAAAAAAAAGACAAGAATATGATTTTCCCTCAGACCTAGACAACCTATGGAGTAATAAGGAAGAGAAGGAAGAAGGGGGAGGAGGGGTACACTCTTTCTCAAAGGCTCTGTTCATGCTATCCCCAAAGACTAACTCTGTTCACACACGTTTATTTATTTTATCAACACTGATGCATATTTTGTAAATAATAACTCAACAGACATTTCTTGAGACAGGTTATATTCCTTAGTGAAGCCAATTCTAATATTTTGTCAATAAATCTATTTAAATATATTAAACTACGGTGAGTGGAAATCTATCGATTATCAGAAGCTCATATTTGGAAAATTGAATATTTGGATTTTGGAAAAACGTGTTTTGGAATTGGGTTTGCTTATATTAGAATATAGTTCTCTCTGGGCCTGTGTGAATTAGGTACTGCTAAAATTCTTTTTATATATCAATTCTTAATGTTCTTTTTTCTTGCATAAATTCTTTCAGCTCTTGGTGGCTCTGAAAGTGTGTTATCCTCAACGACTTACTATTCTATGAGGAAATCATGAAAGTTGCCCGGTAAGGCTTCATACATATACTTGTTATGTCCTAACTTCTCTCACTTGGTATTGTGCAGCCTACTTTTCATCCGCTGTGGATTTCTTTTCTTTAATTAAAAAAAAAAATTCATAAATGTGGATGGCGATAGCTATAAATATTTATCGTCAGACATTCTGTTGGACTTGGACAGAATGATTGTTCTCTTCTTAATTATCTTAATGTTTTTAGGTATTCTGTTATGATGTTTTTGAATCATTCAATCGTAAAATTTTTGTTTGGGTGTAAGTGCTGAAAAGTTACTTTTTTTTCTTTTTTTTTTCTTTTACAGATTACTCAAGTTTATGAATTTTATGATGAATGCCTAGGAAAGTGAGTTCTTGACTTCTTTCTGTTTCTCATGTTGTTTAAATGCCAATTGGATAAATGATAATGCTATCTAATAGATTGTGAAAAAGATGCAGTGAAGCTGGTTCTGATCTTTGTAGCGTTCTATATGTTCAAAGCTATATCACTTCATGCAACATTTTTCCTCTCATTCTGGGCTCCATAACGATTGTCAAATTGAATCTGTTATTATTTTTTTTGAATTTGGGGGCACCATTGCATAACACTGATTTGGTGGGCATTCATGAAATAGTTATGGGGAAATTGTCTTAGCCTCTCAACCCATTGCCCAAGTAGCAAATTGTTCCTCAACTTTTAAAAAGGAGAAAAATGACCCACAGCTTTTTACTGTAGTTGCACAGTAATTATTCGAGGGAAACAGTTCAAATTTCCATTAAATCGTCATGTGACACGCACATTTCCAACTTTACCGAGCTAGATTTTGTTTCCCAATTTGAGCTGGTGGCTAGAAATTTGAAGTGAGAATGGGAGATTTAACTTGCTACTCGGGCCATAGATTTGAGGACCAATGCTGCAATTCTCCCATTTATTATGGTTGTTTGAGTATATATTGAGGTTGTAGCTGTTTTCTGCAGTTTGACCCAGCTCCTAGAAGGGGTGAGCCAGATGTAACCCGCAGAACACCAGATTACTTCGATGCAGTGGATAATAGTATCAGAATTCTGCGGGACAGATGCCTGATAGCTGCTTTATGCTCATAATGCTCACTTCTACAAATTTAGATATATATTTTCCATTGATGATGGGATGTCAGGAAGCATGTGAAAGACGCAGGTAATGCTTTCTTTGATCGAATCTTTTCGTGGAACTAATAGCAAACATGACGAAAGCAGTGGTGCTGGCAACTGAGATCACTCCTAACACTGTAATGGTCGAGGCATTTGCCCTCTTTTCTTCTTCTAGTATCGTATTTTTGTCCCTCGTGTGGAAGAAACATATCAAGATTTTTAAGTTTCTCCATATTTATTTTTTATCCATTGGAGTTTCACACGACATGGACATTTATCATTTTTTCTTCCCTTTTTTAACATTTGAATCAACATTCAAGTCACTTGTAATTTAAACATTCCGAAGGATTTGCAAGTAAAATAGATAATAAAAACTTCTGCATGTAATGCATGCTGGGTTGAAATCATAAAACTATTGTTTATAGTTTGATTAGCACAAGCAATTGCTTCTTAGAAGAGAGAATGACTTTAATGAAAATTGACTTCGACTGCCAGTTGCTAACTTTCTCATCTCTGAAACTTTCGTTGCCTTTGACCTGAGCTGTTTGAGGCAGAAAATCAAGACTAATTTGGAGAATATTTATTTAGCCTGTTTGATGCCCCTTTTTTGGTGGAAGAAAAAAATTTGGAATAAAGATTTGATGGAGAATGTGTGAATAAAAAATAATGAAAAGTTTTAGGTCTAATATTATTTATTGAAGAATGTGGTTTAAAAAAAAAAAGGAAAAATGTATTTAAAAAGAGAGAGAGAGAGAGAATCAGACTTTGAAAGTAGTAAAATTAAGTCTTAAATATAAAGAATTTGTTGGAACGCTTCAAAATTTTAATTCTATAAATTTATAGATCCTTTTCAAATAATAAAATATACTTTTTAAAAATAGAGAGTTTCTTGGAAGTGCTTTAGAGTCCTAAGTTGAGTTTGGAGCACTTTAATAAGTCTCTTTGTTCATTAGTTAGGAGAATAAAACTTGACAATGGCTATATAAAAACATATGGGTGATGCTACATGTATGTTTTTGGTGTATATAATGCATTACACGTCTTAGTATTATCCAAAACATGCCTGGAGTTTCGTTTTTAATAGAAACTTAGCCCACAATTGCCAACAGGCGTTTGTAGTCCAACGGTTAGGATAATTGCCTTCCAAGCAATAGACCCGGGTTCGACTCCCGGCAGATGCAGTTCCTTTTTCCCTAAGCTAATTTAATTTTCATTAAAGAGTTTGACTTGCAAACGTTTTCTAGGTTAAACTTGCATAGTTGCATTACATAAATCTACAGTTCAA